TTATTCCTTTCAGAACTCTTTTAGAATATGGATAATCGGATTTACATTCAAAACATTAAAGTGAAACTAAACTTTAGTTAAGAAAAAAAAAATGTACTGTATGTAGTTTTAAGTTTGTATTCCTAACTCAGGAAAAGTCCCTTCTATTGCCTCCTCCAAATCTCCAAATTCATTTTTTTTTTCTGCTGTTCTCTGACTTCCTGTTAGAGGGTGGCTACGTTCATTCTCCATGGTCTTGCTGTGTGTAGGAACATAGCCATCTTCTCTTGCTCACTCCTGAGATTGGTTATGAGGGCTAGGGGCTATGGGGGTTGGAGGCTAGGTGCTATGAGGGCTAGGGGCTATGGGGGTTGGAGGCTAGGGGCTATGAGGGCTAGGGGCTATGGGGGTTGGAGGCTAGGGGCTATGGGGGTTGGAGGCTAGGGGCTATGGGGGTTGGAGGCTAGGGGCTATGGGGGTTGGAGGCTATGGGGGTTGGAGACTAGGGGCTATGAGGGCTAGGGGCTATGGGGGTTGGAGGCTAGGGGCTATGAGGGCTAGGGGTTATGGGGGTTGGAGGCTAGGGGCTATGAGGGCTAGGGGCTATGGGGGTTGGAGGCTAGGGGCTATGAGGGCTAGGGGCTATGGGGGTTGGAGGCTAGGGGCTATGAGGGCTAGGGGCTATGGGGGTTGGAGGCTATGGGGGTTGGAGACTAGGGGCTATGAGGGCTAGGGGCTATGGGGGTTGGAGGCTAGGGGCTATGAGGGCTAGGGGCTATGGGGGTTGGAGGCTAGGGGCTATGAGGGCTAGGGGCTATGGGGGTTGGAGGCTAGGGGCTATGAGGGCTAGGGGCTATGGGGGTTCAGGCTAGGGGCTATGAGGGCTAGGGGCTATGGGGGTTGGAGGCTAGGGGCTATGAGGGCTAGGGGCTATGGGGGTTGGAGGCTAGGGGCTATGAGGGCTAGGGGCTATGGGGGTTGGAGGCTAGGGGCTATGAGGGCTAGGGGCTATGGGGGTTGGAGGCTATGGGGGTTGGAGGCTAGGGGCTATGTAGTATGCATAGAGCAGAGCACAGGATCATAACTAATGTGCACTGCTAGTTCAAACAGAAGAAACAATTTCATGAAAAATCGATTATTTGGCCGTTAAGTAGTGGAAGTGTATGGGCTATTTTTGGGGAGAAAAGGATATCTTTGGTGTCACTTTAAACATGATAAAATTTGGGAACTGGTTTATGGTTCTGTAATAGTACAAAACGTTATGCATTTTGCAAGCAAAGGTGCTTATGTTTTATACAATGCAATGAAAAAATAACAAAAAAACCGGCTTATGCATTATCATTTTTAAAATCAGAGAAAAAGGGCGCACCGGCAAATAAGCATATCATTTAAAAATATTTATTGAGAGAAAAAGGTAAGTATCATACCCAATGGACATATAAAACACAGGCACACAATGAACAAGATGTTCAATCCAAATAGCATACGAGGGACCCTGGTTGACCAACTTTCTGACGCGTTTCGAGGACTCAGCCTCTTCCTCAGAGCCCTCAGGGCCGGTCTGTTGAGGGCAGCAAGCAGTGCATTTTCCAGAACCTTCACATTGTTTCTGCTGAGTCCATTCCCAGCGCAGGAGAAAAGTGTTTGCTTATGTTTTATAAACTGGTTCCCAGTCTGGTGATTGGAAAGGTGTTTCCCGCAAGCTTGGGTGATGTGAAATGGAAGTTGTAAGCGCACAATGCACTCAACGTTCTCTTAGAACCCAACTTCAGGCTACCTCTTCCTGTGGCCCCTTTTTTTCATGATGCATTGGGTCTTCTTTCTCCCGGTGGCCCTGAGTGATGTTAACACCTCTTTCTGACTCCTCATAGTATGGGTGCAGGTCACTGTGCCCTGGGGGTGGAGCCGTGACACCCCACACTCACTCGTTGCATAGAACTTGTTCACACCAGGTCCATTGATTTGCATTGATTAATACTAGCTCAACACAAGGACACATACATTTTTCTCTATGCATCCTGTACACATATAGCTATATAGTTAGTCTGGCTGAAAAAAGACCAAAGTCCATCTAGTTCAACCATTAAAAAAAAAAAAAAAGTTATAATCCTACACCCACAGTTGATCCAGAGGAAGGCAAATAAAAACCCAGCAAAGCATGACCCAATTTGCTCCTGCTGGGAAAACAATTCCTTCCTGATCCCCCGAGAGGCAATCGGATATTCCCTGGATCAACTTTCCCTATAAATGTTATATCCAGTTATATTCTGTGTATCCAAGAAAGAATCCAGGACTTTCCTACAGCAATCCACTGAGCTGGCCACAACCAACTCTTCAGGGTGCCCTCCTTTAGCACTGACCGGTCAGAGCTGTCCTTCGTCATTCTGCCTTTTGCTGCCGTATACTTCTAGCCTGCCAGGTTCCTGTTGCTCCTCTCCAGCCATTGTGTGACCACTTAAGATGTAACTCTTGCGCATGTCCTCTTATGTCGTGGAGGTCTACAGGAGGACCCAATGATAGCTGTGGGGGGCACGGGAGATTCACTCACTCCTGCAAGTGTTGGTTTCCCAGCTGACTTTGGGGGACAGTATCTTGGGCAATGGAGCAGCATTCAGTGCCGTAAAGGAGAGAAGTATTTACATTTATTTACATGAATTTGATGGTGGCTATAACTGAAGTAGAACTATGGCTTCCTATAAAAAAAAAAGTGTTGCAGCACTTGCATTTGTGCCTACAGTTGACCCTTAGACCTCCTGCAGTGCCTCATGAATACCTCTTAATGCTGGCAGTGAAGTCCACCTCATGCAGTTTGCTGTGATGGGGTGACTGCACTGCTCCTGAATTCTGAGTAGCATTGTCACCCTCATGTAGACTGCACCTTGCTGTGCTGCAGCAGGAAGAGAAGATTTCGAAGTGGCCATCACCTTTACCTGTCAGTTGTGTAGCACTTGTAGCTTGTCAATCGGCACCTGACCACACCTAGTCCTGCCCACTGCTTTCTGCATGGGCACAGCTATCCACTGTGAGTGTAATGGAACCGGACCCCGACTGCGCTTGGGTACTTCCGTTCGGACTCCTGCTTCCCTGTCCGAACACCGACCACAGACCCCCCTGCTGACCATACAAGACTAGACAATACCAGACTTGAAGTAAACCAGAGTAGACTACTTTATTTTAACACAGATACAAGATATATGCATTCAAAGAAACAACCCCCCTCCCTGCATAATGACACAGGGAGGGGCAATCTACATTTAGTAACCAGAGATACACCATCAGACAATCCCACCAGGAGGGTTGCTGGAGACACCCCCCACCAAGCCAATACACATAAACACATACATTCCATAATAGTTTTCTCCCAAACTAAACTATAGAACAATGGGATGCAACCACATGGCATTAAACAATCCACGACCCCCCCCCACCCCAATATTAGGACAGATCACCCTGTACCCCTAACAGGCACAGGGTGACTTACACATAATAGGAATATGGGGAGCTGAGACAGGGGTTTCCCCACCTCTCCAAAGTGAGCTGGGTTCCATGGGCTCTCCACCCAAAGTGACTCCCGTCACAGTGAGCTGCAGTGTCAGGGAGGGAAAGCATGTGAGACACAAATGAAGGAGGATTTGGTTCACTTGGGAAGTTTTTTTTTTTTTCCCTTGTCCATCATATTTGGGACCTGTCTGGACTGTCCTAGATATGCTTTCACTGAGATTTATAGAGCTACTAGCAAGTCTTTAAGAAGCCTGGAGTTGAGAATGAAAACTATTGCAGGGCTCTGTTAATTGATGTTATGAACACATAATCTTTGGCAGGTGCCATGATGGAAGCCATCAGACTTTGGACCTCCAATCTGCAGAACTCACATATGAAGTGTAAGACTTGGTGTGAGCATTGTTAAAATAAGGGGACCAGATATAAATCTTTTATAAGTAAGACTGTACAGTTATAATTGGGCAGAATAACTAGGTTACTGCATAGGCCCAACCATGACTGGTACTCCTTAAGGTCCAATTTGTCAGACTGCAGATCTGGTACTAGTGGACCCTAAGGGGTTAACAAGGATGATGCCTGGCCTGGATTTCGGGAACTCAGAGATGGCTCAGCTGTCCTGATGATAGATAAATCCCTTCTTGTTTAATAACTAATGAGCGAAGGACAGGAGAAAGCCGTATCACAGATTATTACTACAAACCCAGCGGCAGCAGAACGGACTGATGGCTATCATACTTAATAAAAGAAGACAGAAGGTTCTCTGGGAGATGCGTGTAATCGGACTGGACACCGGTCACCAGATAGCTACATAGTGAGCCCGTCGTATCAGTTCCTGGGGAAAAGTTTTTATTAAACTCTTTTCATGAGAAATTACTGATGGCCAGAGCAAGATTTGCTGCAATCTGTCGTCATATTATAAAGAGAAAAATTTCCTACATCCAGTCTAAAACATAAAAATCATTGTGTTTGAGTACAGCTAGTATATGTATCCTTCATCTGTCTTTATATAATCTTGCTGCAGTAGTTGAATAATAAATCAGACTGAAAATGGGAAAGGCCGGTTGTTGTGTTGGGCAGTCAGAGCATTGTTGCATTAAACTTTCCTTCCTCAACCTTTATACCCCAGAAGAACCCTTGATATAATTTGTCATGTCTTAGGAAACACTACTAAAATTAAATAAATGGGGTCAGAGGGGAGAGGGTCCTTCACTTTGGTGGTCAGTGGGAAGAATGCATCCTATATTGGTGGTCATTATAGAAGATTCACCTTACATTGGTGGTCATTAAAGAAGATTCACCTTGCATTGGTGATCATTTGGAAGAATGGTCCTTACAATGGTGACCAGTGGGAAGAATGCCCCTTAAATTGGTGGTCAGTGGGTAGGATGACCCTTTGATTGGTGGTCAGTACGAAGAATGCACCTTAAATTGGTGGTCAGTGGGTAGGATGACCTTTACAATGGTGGTCAGTGGGAAGAATGGCCCTTAAATTGGTGGGCAGTGGGTAGGATGACCCATACATTGGTGGTTAGTGGGAAGAATGCCCCTTAAATTGGTGGCCAGTGGGTAGGATGACCTTTACATTGGTGGTCAGTGGGTAGGATGACCTTTACATTGGTGGTCAGTGGGAAGAATGGCCCTTAAATTGGTAGTCAGTGGGTAGGATGACCCTTACTTTGGTGGTCAGTGGGAAGAATGTCCCTTAAATTGGTGGTCAGTGGGTAGGATGACCCTTACATTGGTGGTCAGTGGGAAGAATGCTCGTTATGTTGGTGGTTAGTATGTAAAATGTTTTCCTTACAGTGGTGATCAGAATGCCACCCTTACAGACAGCTAAACCATTCAATTCACTGGTGTCATGCAGCTGGCTTTGCGTTGGGTCTGAACTGTGGAGGCATCATCAGATGGGAGGTCAATCAGCCACACCTCAGGAAACCCCTAGCAACTTTTGGAGGAACCTTGCTGAGAATGGCTGCATGTTACAGTACTATCAGTCCAACACTGTGAACGTGATACCAGCAAGGGATGACCTCATTTTGTGCCTCTGCCCCTTCATTTTCCAGGCCTACAGTAAGCTGACAACTCTGTATTCTCTAACTGTAAAAGAGAAAGTGGCGTCACACCTCTTATGATGTTGTGTGGCAGGGGTACTCCATATGGTTGACCATCCATATTACTGAGACAGGTGTTTCCAGTGAAGGGTACTACAGCAAACAGACATTTTAGCCAATTGTGCACAGCCAACCTTGGTAACAGGTTTTGTGAAGGCTCTTATCTGTTCCAGCATGACTGTGTCCCTCTGTACAAAGCCAGCTCCATAAACACATGGCTTGACCAGTTTGGTGTGGAGGAACTTGAGTGGCCTGATTTCAACCCTACTAGAACACCTTTGGGTTGAATTGGAGCACTGAGTGCCAGCCAGGTCTTCTTATCCAACATCAGAACCTCACAAATGTTCCTCTGGTTGAATGGGCACAAATTCCCAAAGACACCCTCCAAAATCTTCTGGAGAGCCTTCCCAGAGGAGTTTATTATATTGTGGCTCAGGTTTGTTTTGACCCAAAGAGTTGTCAGTAGAAAAAGTAATATTGGTGTTAGGCTAAGACTGTTGGGGGCTGTAGCATGCTCGGGGATCGTAGATTGTATGATAAGAGAACGTAATTTTTTAAAATTTCCCATGCTTTACATTTTTTAAATATCCTAATAAGTGATCATTTCTCTTGGTATCCCGGTCAATATTACCTGTATAGAGTCTATATGCTTTGTATGGTGTCTCCCTCTAGTCACAACCCTCATTTCTCTTTAGCAATCCCTAGGTAGCAGCTGTGAAAACTCCAAGTGCAAATCTGACTTGTTAGGGTTGTAGTTCCAAACCATAAATAGACTACCCCAGGTTAACATCTAAGCGTTTTCTGCAGCGGTTTACATAAACGCACTACAGTCCATTCTCCTGGTGGGAAGATGCACTCCCTCTGTCATGGTGACTATTGTCCTCAGGACAGCAAGTGATAGGAAATCCAAAAATATTAGGTGTCACAAGAACAGGAGAAGGGACATCTTGCTCTAGCGACATCTAAGCCCAGGTTCACACCTAAGCGTTTTCCAGAAACACACTACAGTCCATTCTCCTACTGGGGAGATGCACTCCCTCCGTCATGGTGACTATTGTCTTCAGGACAGCAAGTGATAGGAAATCCCAAACTTTTAGGTTTTTCACTCAGTGGGTTTTTTTTTGGAAAGGGTCAGAAACTTTTTTGAACGCAAAAAGTTGCGTTTTTGGTTCCATAGACCTCAATGTCGCATGTCGTGCATTTTTGCCGTGTTTTTGATACTTTACATTTTTTAAATATCCTAATAAGTGATCATTTCTCTTGGTATCCCGGTCAATATTACCTGTGTATAGAGTCTATATGCTTTGTATGGTGTCTCCCTCTAGTCACAACCCTCTAGCAATCCCTAGGTAGCAGCTGTGAAAACTCCAAGTGCAAATCTGACTTGTTAGGGTTGCAGTTCAAACCAAACCCTAAATGGAGTACCCCAGGTTCACATCTAAGCGTTTTCCGCAGCGTTTTGCAGAAATGCACTACAGTCTATTCTCCTGGTGGGGAGATGCACTCCCTCTGCCATGGTGACCATTGTCCTCAGGACAGCAAGTGATGGGAAATCCAAAAATTTTAGGTGTCACAAGAACAGGAGAAGGGAAATCTTGTACTAGTGACATCTAACCCCACGTTCACACCTAAGCGTTTAACGCAGAATTTTGCAGAAACGCACTACAGTCCATTTAACATGATTTCCTATGGGACACGGTCGCATCTCTGCGTTTTTCACCCGGTGCGTTTTTTTGCAAGGGTCAGGGACTTTTTTGAACGCAAAAAGTTGCGCTTTTGGTTCTATAGACTTCAGTGGAAGCGCATGTCGTGAGTTTTTGCCGTGTTTTTGATGTTTTGTGTTTTTTAAATCTGCCTAGCAACAAGAAAAAAATAAACACATCAAAATGCATGTGCAAAAAAACGCAAAATGCAATGCTGAAACGGATCAGACGCAAACTGCATAGGTGTGAACCTAGTCGTATACTGTTTGGTCTGTGCATTGTGTATGAAACCATCACCGTGTTTTTTTTTTCCCCCATTCATTTTTGCAGCTCATATTTGTTATTATTGTTATACAGGATTTATGGCGCCAACAGTTTGCTCAGCGCTTTACAATATAAGGGAGACAATACAGCAACAATACAGTTCAATACAAGAGGGATAGGAGGGCCCTGATCCTTGGACCTATATTTTAAATCACTTGGGCCTTCCTCGCTCTAAATCCTTAAAGGGTAACTCCACTTTTGTGGGAGGAAACTGCAAATAAAAAATAAAAAACAGTATAGTGTTTACAATTGCGACTCAAGTCACATTTGTAATTGAATGCTATTAAAAATTACTTTTCAATCTGCAGCGCTGTCATTTTCTGTACAGATGGTATACAGAACGCCCCCTGAAAATGTCAGTTCCTCCTTGGGTGAATGCCTCACTGATTTTCCCAGAAGTCTGCACTAAGATATAAGTCAGATTTTCGGCATCCCCTGCAACAAAAATGTTGTTTTTGGTGAGATTCTCCCTATAGAAAAATCACATCTAAAGGGATGCAGACCCTGCCACGTTCTTCATTAGAGCCCTGGGGGTGCAGCAGCTCATTGATAATTGTGAAACCACTCCCATACAGATTCACTCTGCACACGGACACAGAGAAACAAACATTTCTTCAGAATAACAAAAGGTAGAAATCTGCAACGTTTGAAATCCCTGCAATGTACAGAGATCACCCAGAGGGGATGTTTTGTTTTTTTTTTTTTTTGCACCTAAAGTGGAGTTATTCTTTAAGTCCCAGAGCGTTTTTTAGTTTTGGGGGTCGCTAATTTCCACAATTTCTTGGTTCTGCATTTTATTAAGTGTTCTCGCATGGGGACCACTTCCTGTTATCTCACATATACATTCTTATTATTAGAGCCAAATTTACCCCCCTACTCCTCCCACAGTTTTTACACTACATAGACAGTAATGTACCGAAACGTGCGGATTGTTCCCGATTGGTGCGCTATTACTTTGTGGAACGTTTCGCCGAATGGTTCAGGAAATATCGACATTTTTGTGGTGAAATTGGTCCCATAGGAATGAATGGTGGAATGTTCAAAACTACAGTCAGGTCCATAAATATTGGGACATCGACACAATTCTAACACTTTTGGCTCTATACACCACCACAATGGATTTGAAATGAAACGAACAAGATGTGCTTTAACTGCAGACTGTCAGCTTTAATTTGAGGGTATTTACATCCAAATCAGGTGAACGGTGTAGGAATTACAACAGTTTGCATATGTGCCTCCCACTTGGTAAGGGACCAAAAGTAATGGGACAGAATAATAATCATAAATCAAAATTTCACTTTTTAATACTTGGTTGCAAATCCTTTGCAGGCAATTTCTAAACTGTGACTGTTCCTTTATTTTTAATATATTTGAGACATACTATGCATCAAAATGTAGGTCTGGGTCTTGTGATTCTCACAATATAAAGCTCTTCGGTGTAGGATTTATAATTTTTAAACAAAAAAACCGTTTGAAGATGGCAACCGCCAGTGAAGTGAGCAAGTTGGAGCAGTTTGTTTTTAACCGCTCTTCTCTGCCCTTGCTGTAGAGTGAGTTGCCATAGGAACCCAGGTGTGTGAGCAGGCAGCAGAGTGACAAGCCACTCCACCCACTCCACCCAGTTACCCCGCCCACTCCAGTTGTAGACTACTGGTGGAGGCAAGAACACTTCACACAATTTCCCCAGAAATGGTAGCTTTTCTAGTTACTTTTAGTTTTTGGAACTCCCCGTGTCAGCCAGCGGTGACTGCAGGGAATGGTTGAGAGTGATCCAGTGATGACTAGGGAAGCCTGGAGAGGTGATGTCACACATAGGCTTCAATGGCCCGTCTGTTGTCGGCGGTCCCTCCTTTTCCCTGCAGCGACGCTGGCTGACATAGAGGATCACATGACTGGACCAGCCTCAAAATAGGTAAGTGTACACTCCTCGGCCACTTTATTAGGTACATCTTGCTAGTGCCAAGAAAATATCTTCCACACCATTATTACACCACCACCAGCCTGAACCATTGCTACAAGGCACAATGGATGCACCACACCATGACACTACCACCACCAGCCTGAATCATTGATACAAGGCAGGATGGATCCCCCACACCATGACACTACCACCACCAGCCTGAACCATTGATACAAGGCAGGCAGGATGGATCCCCCACACCATGACACCACCACCACCACCAGCCTGAACCATTGCTACAAGGCACAATGGATGCACCACACCATGACACTACCACCACCAGCCTGAACCATTGATACAAGGCAGGATGGATCCCCCACACCATGACACCACCACCACCACCAGCCTGAATCATTGATACAAGGCAGGATGGATCCCCCACACCATGAAACCACCACCACCAGCCTGAACCATTGACACAAGGCAGGATGGTTCCCCACACCATGACACCACCACCACCAGCCTGAACCATTGATACAAGGCAGGATGGATCCACCACACCATGACACTACCACCACCAGCCTGAACCATTGCTACAAGGCACAATGGATGCACCACACCATGACACTACCACCACCAGCCTGAACCATTGATACAAGGCAGGATGGATCCCCCACACCATGAAACCACCACCACCAGCCTGAACCATTGATACAAGGCTGGATGGATCCACCACATCATGATACCACCAGCCTGAACCATTGATACAAGGCAGGATAGATCCACCACA